ACTATCAAGAACGAACCTTACTGCTTTTATCGATACAATAATACTTACGAAAATAATTTGTATCTAAAAACCGGTAATAAGGAAACTTGTTTGTTAGAAGATTATGAAGTATACAAGATAATTTAAAAAATTATATTTCATTCCGTATAGATGATTAATATAGATATTCGCGTTAAAAAAATCCCATCAATCAATCAATTTATTAATATAACATTTTTTTACTTATTTCTAATAAAACATCAGTTTCATACAATTACTATCAATTTATCCTTTATAAATACTTGTATGCTGTACATTTACAATTGGTGAATTGGGCCGATAAAATCTGTCGACTTGTCAAATAATGATTCGTTGATATAAAGAAACCGAGAATAAATGGCTTTGGATAAGGATATTATTATTTTATTGTTGTTTTCAAACAGTTCAATCTATTTTTCAGAATCATACATGGCTTGAAATATTAAACAGTTTATTATACATTTAGTAAGCCCGCTGGTGCTAGTTATGAAATTCAGTCGGCGGGAATAAAAATACTACAACTGACCGGCTCCTTCTTTTTCCACAACCAGTAGCGAATTCATCAAAAATTTGTGAACAGAAAGGCAATGAATTCACAAAATACACGATCAGGAGCTTCTTATTACTGATGATGATTAATTATCAATTTTAAATTTAAAGAAGATTTATTATTGTAAAGAGAGAGATTAATTTTATTGCAATCTATAAAGCTGAAAAAATTTAATTGTCAAAGAAAAGTGTAAACCTAATAAATTAACTGATCTTTACCATTAAGATGAAATAATAATAATAACACAACAACATTATTATTACCTTACAAATAATAATAAGGAGTGAAGTGAAAAAAAGAAGATAACTTACATATATCTTTTGGTGGGATTAATACATTAGATACAACATGAATAATACCTTTAAAAAAATAAACAATTAAAAATTCAAGCTTATTTATAAAGAACACAAAATTCATTTCATCACATTATTTATTTTTTGATTTACCATTATCTGATTGCAAATCAAAGTCTGTGATTTTCGCGTTTCCAATAAAATATGTATTTTGTTCATCTATCTCGATATTAAGCCTTTGACCAATGTTCTCATTGCCCAGTTTTTCTCCCAAATCCAGATGAGTTATTAACAATTCTTCATTTTTAAATTCTTCTTTCTTGATCTCTCTATACAAAATATGATAAAGCATTTGATCCCTGGTGATATCCTTAATATCAAGGCCTTTAAATGCCTTATTATCAGGAGCAAAAAAGGTCGCAGTCTCCAAATGATTTATTAGAGGAATGAGCCTGGTGTTT